GACTCAGTAAGTTCTTCTCTGAATATGAAGGAAATAACTTAGGGAATATGTGAAAATTATCTGGGTTATCCTTAGTTCTTAAACAACTAATATTTGTACATTAGTTTACAATGTACTTTTACATAATTTCCTCATGTGACAATAAGTACAGCTCCAAGTTAGCCTTTACTGGAACAATATACAATTAGAACTACTTAGGATTAAAATTTGTAATAGAAAATATGCTGATAAAACTTGTAATTTGGAATTAAATAATTTAAGAGTCCAAGAAAGCCAACCCAATTAAAAGTAGTCTTCTTGCGGAGGGGGAGAGGGGAGTGGGGGGAAAAAAGTATTCTTCTTGTGACTAATTTAATAAAAATTAAGAGATACAAGGCTCTAGTTATTAAGCAATTAACAAAGGGAAAAATGTCTTTTCACATTTATTTCATTTTATAAAGAATTTATTTTATTTAAATATTTCTCTTAAATAGTCTATATAGAAGAACTTCAAGGTTTTTTGTTTGTTTATTTTTAAATTTTTCTTGCGACTGATCAGTGTGGGGATATGAACCCTTGATGTTGGTATTACCAACACCATGTTCTAATCAACTGAGCTAAACGGTCATCCCTCTTATTACATTTAAGCTAACTGACCATCCCTCTTGTTACACTGAATTAGAAAACAAGAACAAGAAAAACATGTAAATGAAACACTAGCATGAGCCTTCGAAATGATTCTTTTCTTATCTTTGCCTAGTTTTATTAAATAGATGGAAAAACCCAACTTACTAAAAGTCTCAGGAGTAAAGTAACCTAATTTCGTCCCCATTTTATGGAGATTAACTTTCTTTTTTTTTTTTTTTTTAAAGATGACCGGTAAGGGGATCTCAACCCTTGGCTTGGTGTTGTCAGCTCAGCCCCACGCTCAGCTAGTGAGAAAACCGGCCATCCCTATATAGGATCCGAACCCGTGGCCTTGGTGTTATCAGCACCGCACTCTACCAAGTGAGCCACGGGCCGGCCTGAGATTAACTTTCTTTTTTTTTTTTTTTAAAGATGACCGGTAAGGGGATCTCAACCCTTGGCTTGGTGTTGTCAGCTCAGCCCCACGCTCAGCTAGTGAGAAAACCGGCCATCCCTATATAGGATCCGAACCCGTGGCCTTGGTGTTATCAGCACCGCACTCTACCAAGTGAGCCACGGGCCGGCCTGAGATTAACTTTCTTTAGATGTGAACATTACTGGAAAAAAAGAAAAATAGAAGTAAAACCAATCCTATGCAAAGCATTGTAAACTTAGTTACTGACCCTACAAAAATGTAAAAATGCTAGAGGTAAACAAAGGATAAAGATGTAAGTATAGTTATCCAGTATTGTCTGCACCTGTTTGCCAGCCTCTGGGTAAGGGATTCTCAGTTTGTATGTGGGTTAATAACTGTTTTGTCACTAATCACCTTGAACTTCAAGGTAGAGCATGGCTTCAGAAGCTGCCAATTGATTATCTAGCTTTTGACAAGGCTGAGGTAAAAAGCCATTCTATTATTTATGACCTTTAAAGAGGCTTATTTTAAAAAATGAATGTAAACTGTATTCATCTTAAAGACTGTAGTAGACACGTGAACTCAAGAATAAAATACTGAAAGCCTGTTTTCTATTAGACCTAAGATTTTCATCACTGGTTTTGCCATTGACAAATTGTATGACCTTGAGCAACTGAGCTAAGGTTGAGAACCCCTGGGTAAAGTTATTGACCATTTAGATCACCGGTGTGCCTGTATGACTACTGCCCGTTAAGGGGTTTAACTACTAAAGTAAAATAAGTAATAAACTCATTATCTTCAGAGGACATACAAAAGGAATTATTTAAACATAATTCTGATCAAGAATGAAATGTTGCCCTGGAATTCTTAATGGCAAAGGAAGAAAATCCTGAGCCTAATTTTTTTTTTTCTGACCGGTAAGGGGATTGCAATCCTCGGCACGGTGTTCTCTGCACCACGCTCAGCCAGTGAGCGCACGGGCCATCCCCATGTAGGACTCGAACCCACGGCCTTGGTGCTACCAGCGCCGCACTCTCCCGAGTGAGCCACGGGGCCAGCCCATCCTGAGCCTAATTAAACATGCTCCTTCATCAGAAAAGATCTCAGAAAGTTCAACTCCAATTTAGATATGATCTTATGGACAAAGCCTCTGACTGGAAATACAGAACAAGAGGGATAGGAGGTTCTAAGGAAACTAAGTTCTGATAATATAATCATGAATACTCCTAATGAGATAAGAAAGCAGTTAGAGAAAACAATTTAATTTCTCTAAGACACTCAGATTTTTAAAAGAATATGTATAAAAGAAAAGGTGACTAATTATGAATACAAAATATTGGTATGAACCTGTAAGAAAAGTGTCACAAAGGCTCAAGCCTAATAAGAACTGAGGTTTCTAAAAATGCTGATAAAACAACAATTAGCTTTTTTTTAAAGCTATGCTTCAAACAAGAAAATAATCTGTTAGGGAAAAGATGGCATAAAGTTAACTGATAACAGAGAGAAGGAAGAATTTCTCAAAAACAGTTTTGCCTCTGTCCTTTCCATCTATAACTATGGCCCTCAAGTTGGAAAGACCAGACAAAAATGAAAAGAATTGAAGTCTCTGACAGTTAAAAAGAGGGTATTAGGACTCAAGTTTATTTAAACATATTCAAGACTATGCCCAAAATAATTAAATGCCAAGGTCTTGAAAAAACGTCAAATACGGAAGAATTAAAAAGTAGAAAAATTCTGTCCTGGTTTTTTTTTTTAAAGAGAAGGGAAGATTTTAGAAAGTGAAGAATGGTTAGCTTAACATTGAGCTTTTAAATATTTCTAGAGGATGGTATCAAGTGTGTGACTTCCAAATACTTAGAATTTAAAAAGCCAACACTAGACACTGAATCAATAACTGGGTGAGAAAAGTCCAAATTAACTGAAGTTTCCTTTGTGATAAAGTTTTCAGTAAGTCTTGATAAAGTTTGGTAAAGCTATTGTGCTATAGCAGTGAACCTTGATTTCTCATGACAGCCTTGTGAGTGAGAAATGTAGGTGAGACAATAGTAGAGGTAAGTAAACTCACAGTTGGTTGAATAGTTCTTTCTAAAGAGTAATGAGTAATTTCTAGTAGTAATATCTAGTAGTGAGCCAGCCACAAGGTTTTGTCTTTGCTCATGTCCTATTCAATATTGTTTTCAATGACCATAATAAAGACTAAAAAGCTTATTTATTTGTACAAGATGTTACACTAGAAAGGACAGAAAATATTACAGACAAGAGATCCAAAATTCAAAAAGATTCTGATATACTGGTTTAATGAGCTTAAACCAAAAAGTGATACTTAAAAGGAGTAAACTAACTCCTACATTTAGGCTTAAAATACAATTATCTAAATATAAGATGGGGAAGAGCTTGTTTGATGGTAATTTACATGAAAAAGAATCTTATATTTTACTGAATTAGAGTGAGTGAATCCGTTTTTAAAAATTAATGAAATTTGGGCCGAGCCTGTGGCGCATTCGAGAGAGTGAGGCACTGGGAGCGCAGCGGTGCTCCCTCCGCGGGTTTGGATCCTATATAGGGATGACCATTGCGCTCACTGGCTGAGCGTGGTGTGGCCGGTCTCAAAAAGGACAAAAAAAAAAAAAAAATTAATGAAATTTTATGCTGCATATTAGAAGGTCTGAATATCCAGAAAAAAATTGTTTTGAGATCTACTGAAATGGCAAAAGGAATTAAAAAGCGTTAACTCAGGAGTTGTGTTACAAGTGTTTTAAAATTAAGGAGTTATAAAAGTGTGAACTCAGCTTTCTCTGGGAGCATTTTAAAATAAGTTTTATGGGTCTTTTAGACTCACTCGAACTGTAATGACATCTCTAATATTTGTAAATACAAATCATATATAATAGTGTCTATCTACAACTCTCACAGACACTAAAATGAAAAAAGAAAAAAAATCTATAATGAGAAATTTTGTCAATTTAATGTTTGCCTGAAAGGACAAATGAAATTAGGGAAACAATGTAAGAACTTTCTTTCTTTTTTTTTTTTTTTTTTTTTTTTTTTTGTCTTTTGTCTTTTTCCATGTCCGGCAACAGATCGCAACCCTCAGTGTTGCCCCCGTACCGGACCGGGGACCGGCAACGGGATCGCAACCCTCGGCGTTGCTCCCGCGCCTCGCTCAGCCAGTGAGCGGGAACCGGTCTGTATGTGGGATCCGAACCCTCGGGCGGGAGCGCCGCCGCGCTTCCCAAGCGGCGCACTTATCCAGTGCGCCACCGGGCCGGCCCTAAGAACTTTCTTTCTAAAGACACTTTTTTTGTTTTTTGAAACTATATTTTCTGCTCTAGCACAAAATACTTTCAGAAACTTCCTTTTAATTAGTCCTTGAAGATTTTGGTATGGGCATAACCTACTAAAAATACATAAAAACCAAGAATGAGAGTGTCAGATTCCCTCTTGTACAATTCTTCATGCTGAGGAATCTTTACTGAAATTAATGGTAAAAGGAGAAAGGGAAGATCAGAAAAATTTAGCCTATTCCCATAAACTTTCTGACATTACTTTAGAATTGTTATGCATTGAAAAAACTGAATTGAAAAAGAAGAAGCAAAATTAAAAAAACAAAAACAAAAAAAATTGAATTGATACTGAAAGAAACACTTTTGACCACTTTTAATCCTCCGAAAAATCCAGGGGAGGGAGAAAAAGCCAACTTAGCAGATTTCAGTGTTTTAATAAAATACACAAAGACACCTGAAGTTAATACTTTTAAAAAGACTTGATTTCCTAGAGATATGAACAAATAAGTAACCTATTAAGGGACTCATAAACTTTATCCTACATAAGAATACTAAAATTTACAACTTTTAAAGCTTTAATGAGGAAAAAAACCTTATTTATATATTTTATCTATTCTAATGTCAAATGATTTAGAAAGAGTAAGTCTCTTTCTAGGAGCAAAAGCGTTAACAACATAAGTAACTTATATACATACAGAAATGTATAGTCTTCTGGAAAGGAGGTTTCATACGATGTAGAAGGAAACGCATTTGATTTGTTTTCCTGTTCATTCTGAGTCACAGGCGTATGACCTACATGAAAAAAATACAAATGTGAGTAACAAGTACATCAAGTTAAAAATCATTCACTATAATATTCATAATATATTCATTGACTAGAGATTCTGCCCATACAGAGCCCTAAAATTTGCAAACATATTAAGATTTCAAGATTGAACCAGAAGATTAGGTGCCAGAATTTTCAAAAACCTTAAGAAAATAATATAGGATTTTAAAAAAACCACTTAGGATAGAAGAGATTTCTACAGGAGAAACTTTAAGTTGGCTTGAACTTGAGCTGAATTTTAATCAACAAAGTGAACATCAAGTACCCCTACTTCTGCTTGTATTTTACAGAAAAATAACACAACTTTCCAAGGCTCTATAAAAGGCTTAGAAAATGAAAAGTGTATGTACCTTTTGTTTTCTCATTGCTGTACAACTATCTATGGGGAGGTGGCATATGAGGTATTTGGGTACCTCTTCTGATCTGTTTTTTCATATTTTTTCATGTATCTTTTAATCTCATTTCTTGTTTCTTCTTTTTCTTCATTTTATATTTCACCTATTCTTACCCTCTAACATGACTACACTATAGAAATAAAGCTGTGTATAGTATTTAATATAAAAAGCTATAGATTTCCTGTTCTTATTTTGAAAAGTGGATATGTGGAATATTCTGTTTGGTTTAAAAACTTTTCTTTATGTGCTGACTTCTTCCTATGCACTGAGGAACCATAAGAAAAAAAGTGATTCTTTTTTTTTTTTTTTTGTCTTTTTCGTGACTGGTAAGGGGATCACAACCCTTGGTGTGGTGTCGCCCACAGCACACCGGTCATTTCTATATAGGATCTGAACCCACAGCGAGAGCGTCGCTGCACTCCCAGCGCTGCACTCTCCCGAGTGCGCCACGGGGCCGGCCCAAAAAGTGATTCTTATCCTGCCTTAGACTACTGTCTTGCTGTTAAAGAAAAAAATATTCAATAATACTTGTTAAAGCACAGTAAGGCAGACTTCAGGACCATCTCTATAGATATAAGGACCACTGCAGTTGGATTTTGCAGTTACAGAGGGAGACTGGTCTCTAAAGATGCATAAAACCTACTTACAGTATGGGCAAGTGGGAATTTATAGCCAAGAAGCAGGCTGGGGGTCAGAGGATGGAAAAATTACTAAGAGGAAACATCAGGGATAAAAGCGGATTTTGGTTAAAGTGAACCAACAGGATTCTTGCTGAAGACAACCCAGGGTGATCAGACATCACCTGGGGATGATGGAGTATGAGGAATCTGATCAGATATTTATGGTGCTCAGGTATCAAGAGTGATAAGGTATTGAAGGTGGGGGGGGGGGGCGTCATGCTTAAGTGACTTAGGGTTCTTGCTAAAACTGGATTTTTACAAGGCATTACAGTAGTCCCCCCTTTATCCTTGGGGGATATGTTCCAAGACCCCTAGTGGATGTATAAAATTGTGGATAGTATTGAACTCTACACACACTATGTTTTTTCCTATACATAATACCTATGATAAAGTTTAATTTATAAATTAGGCATAGTAAGAGGCTAACAATAACTAATAATAGAATTATAACAATAACTCTAATAAAAGTTATGTGAATGTGGTCTCTCTCTCTCTCAAAATCTTATTGTACTGTATTCACTCTTTTTCTTGTGATAAGTCAATCTGATAACCGAGATAGCTACTAAGTGACAAACAGGCGGGTGGCGTATACAGTATGGATATGCTGAGCAAAGGGATGATTCACATCCTGAGCAGGACAGAGTGGGATGGTGCAAGATTTCAACATACTACTCAGAACACTGCACAATTTAAAACTTATAAATTATTTATTTCTGGAATTTTCCATTTAACATTTTCAAACCAAATTGATTGTGGGTAACTGAAACTGCAGAAAGTGAAACCGCGGATAAGGGGGGACAACTGTTCTCAGGTGGGCCAAGGAGAAGGTTCAGAAGCCTGACTAAAATTTGGTCAAGCAAAGAATCACTGTCATCACATTGGACCTTTATGCAGACCAGTCTTACTAAAAACAAGAACAAAAATTTAAGTAAATAAAAGAATATTTTAAGTTGTAATCCAAAGCCACTTCTTGGCTAATTGGAAAACAAATATCGCTCTTTAATTATCGAGGAAAAGAAAGAAGGTTCAAAATCTGATAGTTGAGAGCTCTAATAACTGATTAGAAATTAAATTTTACAAATTAAAAATTTCTGATTTGTTTCCCAGCTAATTTCTTTGTGTGAGTTATATAAATCTTTATTAACAAATATGAACAAAACAAACATATATAAGTATAGTTAGAAATAAAATTATCTGAAAAACATGGACATTTAAAATTAATTAGATAAGGAAAGAAGGGGAAATAATTCCTCTCAAGAAAGTAATCCCTTGTTTGTGGACACAGCAAATATTTATGGGGTTATATATAAGCAAGGAAAATAAAGGTAATTAGTGGTTTATAACAGCCTGGGGAGCTCTAAACTGGATCCAGGATGGCTTGTTTTGACTTCAACACCAGGTCCTTTTACTTCTCTCAGTCTCAATATTCCTTTTAAAATAAATCTAGCATGAAACTTTATTACTAGAAGGTTTTTAATACTTACATTTGCCAGCAATGTCAATTATATAACTCTCCTCAATTACTTACTTACTTAAAAATACTTCACCACCACTGGCAAATACACAGACTTTTATTTTGATAAATCTGTTACATTTCAGATGAACTATACAAAAATATAAAATAATAATATTCAGCATTTCTACTGAAAAAAATTACAACTTTAAAAGACACAAAACAAAAATGCAACTTACTTTTAGTGGAAAATAAGTTGTTTTAGAAAGAAAAATACGTTGTTTAGAATTAATTCCTTGTTACCAGCTCTTCGTAACAAGAGAGGTTAAAAGCTTCTTTCTTGCAAAACTAATGTAATCCCTTAAGGGTGTGTTGATTCTGAAAGGGTACAGATGTGCCACAGTGGCAGGCAGAATCAACAAATGCAGGAAGAGACTTTCTCTGAACTACATTTACCTGTTTAAAAACAGATCCTCCAAAATAAAAACTCAATGGTCATAAATCCCTTCCCCTGGAAGTTTCATCAACCAGGAAAGATGGACTCTTATCACAAGAAAGCACAGGAAGTGGGCATCATACCTAGACATTTTCACAAAATATCATATCTCCCATCTATTTTCCTCAGGGTCCACTTATATTTCAATACTCGTTTGTGTTTCCAGAAGGGCCACTCCACCCCTCCCTTTCCCCTATTAAGTTGGTATAATAAGCTCTCAAATCTCACTGCTGCTTTGGGTATTCACTTCTTTCTGTGATGTTCCTGTGCACATAAAATTAAAAGTTAATATATTTGTCTGCCTTTTCTCCTGTCAATCTGTGTTTCATCAGTTTAATTCACAGCCCCCATCGCAGCCACTGAGATAGAGAAAAAGGTTTTCCTTCCCTACAATTCCAAGTGTAATTGAAGGACACTATGAAAGGGAGACTGTTTTCTTCAAGAACCTAGTCTTCTAAAACTATACTTTAGCTACTGAAATTGAGAATAATTTTGAATAACAGGTTTCTTTAAAATAGATGGTGATACTAGACTGTATTCTCAGAGATTTAAAAGCCTTATGGCTCCAAATTATGGCAATAAAACAAAAATTATTAAAGTTTGTTGACAGTGTATTATCCCATTTTTGTTGCTTACAACAAAATATCTGAGACTGGGTGTACTTTATAAAGAAAACGAAATTTATTGCTTACTGTTTCTGGGGCTGGGAAGCCAAAGTCCATCTGGTGGTGGTGACAGTGACCCAGGGGTCTCACATTGCGAGAGAGAGAGAGAGAGAGACAGACTCTCCTCTTCTTTTAAAGCCCTTAGATCACACCGAGAGAGAGAGAGAGAGAGAGAGAGAGAGAGAGAGAGAGAGAGAGAGAGAGAGAGTCTCTTCTTTTAAAGCCCTCAGAACACACCCCTAACCACCATTTTTAATCCATTCACTACAGCATGGTTCTACAATCCAATCACCTCTTCAAGGTTCCACCTTTCAATTACCACAATAGGATTTCCCACCTTCTTCACAAAGTGGGGGATAAGTTTCTAATACATAAAGCTTGGGGGACACAATTCAAGTTCAGTGAGTTTTGGGAGTACATATTTCAAACCACTACAACAATATCTAACAGCATTAATTAAAAAAAATCTAGTAAATGTACTTTCTCAACACTTAAGCAAATTTATGATAGACTAAGATTTATGGAATGGTGATTCTGATAAAAATAACTTCTCAATTTTTCTTTTTCTAATCTTGGTACATGTAACATAATAAAAAATATATAATGGGTCTCTGCCCTGGTACCTTACACAAAGTTCCTAAAATCCTTGTAACTTCCTGAGTGATAGGGGTGATAGAAACATCTTCTGTTATAATATTTGGTCTTAGTTCCCAGTTCCTGACATGAGAGCTTCTAAGACCTTTGGAATCTCTGGAGTGATGAGTATCTTTTGTATGCTAATAAGGTAATTGTGACTGGGATCCCTAGACAGCTTCAGGATGGGGACTAGTCATCAGAATGACCAAGGGACTATTAAAGGGTGGGAACTTTCAGCCTTGACCACCCTCCTTCCCCCATCTCCAGGATGGGGAGGGAGGCAGGAGATTAAGTTAATTGCCAATGGCCAATTATTTTACCAATTATGCCTATGTAATGAGACCTCCACAAAATCCCTAAATGATGGAGTTCAGAGAGCTTCCAGGTGAATGCATCTACATGCTGGGAGGGAGGCACACCCCAATACTCCACAGGGACAGAACCTCCTGCACTCAGGGCCTTACCACACATCGTCCTATGTACCTCTTCATCTGGCTGTTCATTTGTATCCTTTACAATAAACTGGTAATAGTAAGTAAAGTGTTCATTTCCCTGAGTTCTGAGAGCCATTATATAACAAATTATCAAACCTGAGGAGGGGGTTGTGAGAACCCCAGATTTGTAGCCAACTCAATCAGAAGTACTAGAGGCCCAGGCTTGTGATTGGCATCTGAAGTGGTGAGCAAATCTTGTGGGACTGAACACTTAAACTGTGAGGTCTATGCTAACTCTGGGTAGTTAGTGTCATAATTGAAATAAATTGCAGGACACCCTGTAGGTGTCCACAGAAAATGGAACAATTGCTTGGTAAGAAAACCCCACACATCTGGTATCAGAAGTGTGTGAGTAGAGAAACAGATTTCTTTACTATGTTATCTGTAATCCTTCTAAACTGAATTTGTTTAGAGCCTGAAAGACCAATGGTCTAAAAGCAATCTAGAAATGATAAATTTATCCACCAATTTATTTATATCAGAATATACCCTTCTAGTACTGTTCTTCTCAGAAAGCAATTTTATAGTGGTTTAGAGTCTTAGAATTCTATTTGCCCTCTTTATATGAGGTTTTTTGAAGACAAACGCTGTGGATTAAATGTCCCCCCAAACTCATTGAGACTTAATCCCTACTGTGACATTAAGAAGGTGGGAAATCCTGTTACAGTAACTAAAAGGTGGAGCCTTGAATAGGTGATTAGATTGTGGGGAACATGCCCTAGTAAACAGATTAATCCATTGATGGCTTAATTGTAGTCATAGGTATGATTCTTAGGACTTTAAAGAGAGTGAAGTTAAGTCTCTCTCTCTTGTGTCCTCTTGCCACATGATTTCCTTGCACCCGCTGGCGGCCCTTTTCTGCCACGAGTAGAAGCAGCCAAAGGCCTACATCACATCCAGCTGTCCCAGAATCATGAACCAAATAAGCTTCTTTCCTTTATAAATAACCCAGTTTCAGGTATTCTGCTGTAGCAACACAAAAAACGGACTAATACAACACACATCTGCCCATGCTTTCCCTAAGATGCTTAGTAGGATGTGCATTTCCTATTTCTGGATGGGTAGGACTTGTCATTTAACAAAAGAACCTGTGATTTATAGAATTTAATAATGTGGATCTTATATTTTACTTAAAATTATCTTTAATTAATCTGACATATTAAGGGTGGCCTACTTCATGGCAAGAAAATACCAAAGAATACTTTAGATTGGGATAAGAGATGTACATACCCTTTATCAATGTTGAACTGTTACTTATAGTTGCCTCATTCACTAGAATCATTGCTTGGATATATTCTGTTAAGGAAGGAAAAATAGAAATGAATGGTGCCAGCTACTGTGCTAAACAATTTACATATTTTATTTCATTTACTCTTTACAACTCCCCTGAGAGGTTATTATGACTGTCTGCATCAGAGACAAAGAAACTGAGGCTCAAAGTTTAAGCTATTTATTCCAGGTCACTCAGCTAGAAAGTAGCAGAACTGGATTCAAACCTAGATATGTCTGACTCATGAAGGACTGAGAAAGAATATTAAGATGAAAAATAGTATCATTGTACCAGTTTTTTTTTTTTTGCCAAAAACATGTCATAAGAACACCCAGAAATTAAGAATAGTCTGGGGAAAATTTTTCTTTAAAACCCTATGTCCTATTCCCATACCAGCCAGCTGCCAAAAAACAAATGAACGAAACCCCCAAATATCCTGATGGACTGAAGGAGGATTCCACATTAAAACCTTAAGTTTTACAACCACCCAGAGTTGAAGACAAACAAATAGAAAAATAAAAACTTGGATGACTGAACTGACTGCCTATACAGAACACAAGTTTTGCTTTCAGCAGACTAGTAAAGCAAGTTTTGTTTAGAGGGCAAAATATAGTTCTATGTATTTTTTTAGATTAGTTGTCTCCAAATAATGGGGTAATAGATAATTTTTCTTTGTTATATTTTTCCATATGTGCCAAATGTTGTACAATGAAAGATATTACTTTTGTAACATTCCTCCTCCCTGCCACACACACACACAAAAGATATAAAGGTTAAAAAAAAAAAAAAAAAAAAAAAAAAAAAAAAAAGAGGGAAAAAAAGAAAAGGGAGTTTAAAAAAAAAAAA